TGTAGTTAATGGACGCGCAAATAATATTACTCACCCAGCAAACACAATGTTAATTGTAACATTCGTTATATTTAACAATATAAAATTCATACGTGTCTTACAAACTATATGAAGTACTTTTTTGTTTTAATTTAAACCTCGTACATATGTAAAATATATATGCACGGCTAAGTTTTTCGTGTTTTACCGTTGGTAAAGAAATTTTTTCATTTTCATTCGTTCAAATATCAAGCGAAGACATTTTTTTTAAATCAAAATTGGAGCGAGGTCCACGTATTAAAAATCAAATTTCATCCTGGGATTTTCCTACTTGACCCTTTGAAATATCGTTTTAGACTCGGTTACGCTTTCAACATGGCGACTAGGTGAGATGAAGGGTCTCGTATGTATAGTGCAGGATTACACGTCGATTACGCGGCTTAATTTTAAACTCGCACCGGCGCAACCCTTTGTGGGCCCAGTCTATGGTTTTACAATCAGTCAGCCGTGCTGTGACATGCTCAAGGGGTTAGAATGTGGGACGGCCGATTGGCTGTGGTCCTTTTTTTTTTACAAAAGCGGATTACCATCTCTTTTTCATTTTCATTTTCGATTTCTACGTTTCTCTCTCTCTCTAGGCAACCCTCTCTTATTGGCACGCGTATAGGTACTATTAGTTTCCTTACGATTAAACCAACTCAGAGTATACTGGGGATGATTATGAACTATCATTATCAATGATTGATGATCGACTCTCAATTGATTTTCCCAGTGTTCTGTGTACGTGTACACATAAATGGCGAACGGGGAAAAAATTCAAAAAAAACTTTCACCCCTTCTGCACATCTCGGTTTCACGGATTTTTCATTTTACACCACCTCCCCCTCTCCAGCTACAAAGCACCCCTTTACGATACAAAAATTTGGCGCGTCACTGTTTACACCGCAAGACAAAAAATGCCCGACAGCCCCTTATTTGAGGAATGACAAAAAGAGGGTATTCCCGAAAACTATCTACTTCATCACAGACATAAACTTCAACGTTATTTTTACAGCATATAGAAATCGTCCCCGAATGACGGCCAAGAATAAGTAATCAGAGTTCGTAGGTAAAATTTAAAAAAATATTGTCAATTACATTTTTTTTTAAACCTCACTCGTAAGCAAGATTTTAAAAACTATACTTATGGAACCGGCAATAATACCAACGTAACAGAAAATTACATAGTGAGTACCTAAGGTGGTACTTACAGCGTACTTAGAGGAGCCCCGATACTGGTTGCGCCTATTTCCATCCCTATCGGGCGAGCGACCCCAATCCAAAGGTGCCCCCAGCTTTCTTTTTTCTCCATTTTGCTATGAATGATGATGTATGGATGTTGGCTGGGTGCTAGGGGCTCGCTAAAGGGTTCCATTGTTGTAGCATCCCCCCAACGTACGAAACAACCCTCTCACCCCTCACTGGACCTCTCTCACACATTCGCATGCATTCATACACAAAAACACATAAGGACAAGCACAAACGTATCTAAGGGTCGAAGGAGAGCCGCTCACGTGAAATATTACCAGCGAGTAACAAACTGCACCCTGCACCCTGTATATACTGTTAATTTTATGCCCGATTTTTTAACCCACTCCAGCCTAACCCACCACGCCGCCCTTATTTCTGGTCCTCCTTGCCACCCTTCCTAGTGCACACCTTCCGACTTGGACGCAATGCCCTTTGACCCCTTCCCGGAATGAGCTAAGGGTGCAAACCCTCAGACTCGACTATAACTTTTTTTTTCAATTAATACCCTAAAAAATATTCCAAGCTGTAGTAATTAATTTTTAATCCAAATTTTTACATTGGACAAGAATGAAAACGTGAAATGACGTAAGAACGCAGAGGATCCCAGTAAAAGAACAAAGAGCATGACGTGTTCACGTATAGAAACAAAAAGAAGAAAAAAATATGCAAAGTAAAGATTAGAAGGGTTTGCCCCTACTTTGAATACGTAGAAAGGAATGCAGTCTGCTGCTGCTGCTAGGCAAATTCGTAATTCGATCGTATATCGAAGTAGAGATAGATGACATAGGTAGACACGTGTATACAGGGTGTTCAAAAAATTATTCACCTACGGATAACTGATGATAGTATGCCAAGTATGTTTAAACGGACACCCTGTATTTATATGGAAAAAGGGCTAGGGACTGGTACAGGATAAGTTCGGCGAAACGGTACAATGATGTATCAACCCTTAAATTCCGCGAGAACAAAGGGGTAACCGCAATTAATAGGGTCTGAAATCGGACACCACCTCCAGGACGTAGCCTGCAATTATGGGGACCTAGCCATAGTCACCCGTTGGACATAGGGCCCCGTGATGGGCATCATCGTAATATGCAAATCCGATCGGACACGGTTTTAGAAATTCGCCACGGCCCTTCTCTGATCTCAACAAAGCATGACTCTGCGAACAATAGGAAATAATAAACCGTGATAAATAGCCAAGCAAATACACGACAATCGAGTATATATCCCTAGGCCCTATAGGGAGCATAGGGATGCCTGGACCTTCCTTATACCAGGTGTACCCACATATTCCCGTGCATATGTACATAGGTACGTAATAGAGGCAGATAGAAACATGTCCCGTGTGTAAATGTCTGTGCGTGATATTTCGATTCGAGGATAAATAAAATGTGCAAATAGTAAATAAGGTAGGATGAAAAGCGAAAGAGTGGAGGGAGAGGGAGGATAAATTTTTGAAAAATATGGGGTGCATTGATAAGCCCTCGTGATTGGTCGAACTCGGCTTCGTATGCATGTTTACATGCATGTGGGATGGTGTAAGTGCGTGCGTCTATTTATTCGCTCTTAATTTGTCAGCCTCGGGGTTATTGGCTTGACGTGTAAATAAAGGGTGGTTTTTGGTATACGTTCAAAAATCCTATTTTAATTCATCATTCTCGAGAATTGCACTAGGAGAATGAACGACAATCACGTGAAGCTTTAATTGGATTATGAGATTTGACTGTTTTAAATAATTTTGAAAATTAATCGATGTACGCATTACAAATTTTCTATATTTGTACCCTGTTGCTCGAGGGTCGTTAGCCCTTAATAAAAAGAACGAGAAATGGTCCGCGGGGACAGATTGAAGGGCGTGCAAATAATAAATCAGTCTTTTGTCTTAACAACCCTACCCCAGTGGAGGAAATAAGAAAAGAATATACGTAGGTAGTGGGGAATGAACAAAAAATACAATAAAACCCAGTGAAAACGACCATTGGGAATCTCGCGAGAAGTGACGCGTTCAGTAATTAATAATAGTACAGCAAAAAAGTACATCTGCTATACTAAAAGGCTATATACAAAAAAAGAAAAAAAAGAAAGGTTAAAAAATGTATAATTAACATAAAAACACAACATACTCAAATCAATGACAAATTTTACGAGCATCTCTAGTAGCGGTACAAAAATATATTTAAAAAGCTTAAACTTTTTTGAATTATGTAATTAATTCAAAAATCCTATTTTTTCTCATCCTTTCTATTACACAAGCATTTAATTCTCCCTAGATAAGGTATCTTCCTTCTAAAGCCTAATTCTCCTCCTCCGTCCGCCAGTTACGTACCCTTTACCACCAGGGACTTTTAAAGTATTAAAGGCACACTTAATCGTTCAGCGAGGGAGATGGGAAGTGAAAGTGGCGAAGAGAGAGAAAGATGGTCATTCCATATCCTTGAAGCGTCGCATAGGAGTCGTGGATTTAATAATCACGTTGACGGACCCTTCATGCGATACAAGGGGTTAAGGAGTGCGTCCTATTGGAAATGATTCGAATTAATGACTCGGCGGACGAGCCGAGAGACACACAGCGACATAGGAGCGGATAAACGAGGAACTACGAATGATCCCTAAGGAGTTCACACATGTACGCACAATCTATGGCTCTAACGACTATCTATTCCAGTACGTACATTGCTCTTGGCAAGGGATGAAGAGATGAGGGACCATGCCTCGTCCAATTACTATACGACGATGTTAAGCACACGCTAATTCCAAAAGTCTTCGTTACTACCCATTTAGGAATTTTCAAAAAAAAATTAGGACACTTGAAACTCAAAAAAAAATTTTACTACACATTCGTGTCTTTGGGCTGATCAATATAAATAATTTTTATAACGCTGCACCAGACGTCATACAAAAACAAAGGACGGACTATGTCTATGAGGCATTGACTACGAGAATTGCCAGTCGTAATTCATTAGAGAATCTTTGACCTTTGACGTTAACGTCTTCGAGATAGACGTTTCTACTTCTTCTATCTTCTAATATATATATAACGTATAAACTCCCATGGACCTAATGAAAAGATACGTGCGTGTTGTAAACCAATGACGCTATATACTCTTCTCCCTCCATTTTCTTTAGATCGTTCATCACTACTCACTTGTATCACTTGACTATTTCATATAGATATATATATATGCCTATATATTTGTCGGCTCTCAGTATGCATATGAGGTACACGCGTCAGACCGAGTCTATGCAATTACGATTAAGATTCATTGTAAGAAATATTGTAGGTACTATTGTTGCTATGTAAAGGCAGAGAATTATTTTCAACTGAATACACAAGTAGGAGTGTGTAATAACAACTAAAGCACTTTTGTGACTAATATAATTATTTAAAAATAAAGTCAAAAATTGATTAAATAATTTTATTGGTAAATTTTTCACTGATTTCATTCGCATACTATGCTTCTTTTATATATAATTTTGAAGTTGTTATTTGAAAAAAAAATAAATTTATAAAAGTCCAAAATTTTACTCTGACGTAAATATAAGTACAGGACATCACACGTGTCCTCGGATTTATCTTGGAGTTGAGTCAATAAATGAAATGCGATATGATGAAGTAAGAGAAAAAAAATTGAAAGGCAAAGTGTAAATGATAGAAGTCTATCAGTGCAAAGGTGATAAATATAATTGCGCTGGCGCGGGTCAATACTCAACTACCGCCATAGTCATAGCCGCTACTACTACGTTGCTTGGCGACGGCTTCGGAGAAGACTCTCTGTTTCTCTCTCTTTCTCTTCCTCTATCTCACTCTCTCTTTCTCTTTCTCTTCCTCTATCTCACTCTCTTACTCGATTTCTTTCTCTCTCTCTCTCTCTCTCTCTCTCTCTCTCTCTCTCTCTCTGTCTGTCTCTCACTCTCATCTCGGACTGCGAGACTTCGTTGCTTCAGGGCTCTTACACTCCGTCTCGGCATCCCAGATCATCGTCGACCTTCCCTACGTCTACCCGCCACTACCAGTCTTCGTTTGGTGATTCTGACGGCACGTGTTGATTTAAATTCAAGAAATATCAATATTCGGTAAGGATTTATTAAGTGATTTACCAAAAGGGATATATTAATTACCATTAATTTTGAATTTATTTTTGATTTGATATTTGAATAAGAAACTTGTTTGATTTTACATAGTGGGGAAATATTTTTTAATTAGTTTTATTCCTTTGGTTGGTACTAGTGAATTTTTGAAATTACGTAATAAATAGGTAATTAGATTAGATAGTTTATTTTGTAAGCGAAGCTTGCTTTCGTTTGTATTGTAATTGTTATCGCGACGAATTTGCTATGACAGTTCGCAGATTTGCAAATTCCTTAGGCAATTTAACAATGATCGAATTTGCCGCGCGTTAAACCTATTTCATATTCAAAAGCACTTTCGTATGCATCGACCATTATTCTCACCAATCATCGTGAATTAGCTGCGATTTCCTACGTGCGGAACACGCCCAGCCTTGTACTCCTTGACAATGTATGTAGGAATTGTTATAAGGACTTTCAGTAATAAATAAATCTACCATTGGCGGATGAAAAAGAATCTGTGATAAAAATAGTTTTTTTTATATTTTTCAGCAAAAACTCATACCGAGAAACAAGCGATTCAAGGCGCATAGAGAATATGCGGCGAAGAGCAAGAAATTCCCAAAAAACAGAGGAATGCAAAATAGAAGAAAAATCCTGCCATATGAATCAGGAAGAATCAAAAATATATTCCTGGCGTGAATCTCTACCTGATAAGAAAACACTGTTTGACAATTTTGAAAAAATCAGTGGCTTCTCAATCGACAATTTTACCAGTTACGAAAATTTCGTACGTCTACTATACAGACCTACGGATCCCGCAAGTTTAGGTGTAGCCCGAGCTCTTTTCGGTGAGTTGAAAAATATATTTACCGTTAGAAAAAAATCTTTTTACTTTTAATCCCACCCAAAAGTAGTGTCTGATATATTTAGAAAATATTGCGGAAAAAATTCACAGCCTCCATTATTTACAACGAGAACTTAGAATCCATACGGTATATTTTCGAGATACATCACATATGTCCGTCATAGGTAACACACTGTAGCTAAGATATCTATGGCAAGGATCGCCCATCGTGTTAACAGCCTTCATGAGAGCCGCCCTATTTAAGTCGGCTTTTAAAAAACCATACTGTACAAAGTCGCCGCAATCTTCCTTCAAGATATACTCGACCACGTACCAAGGATACTAGTAACACTTATGTGTATCAAGATTCCACATAACTGCTGCAAGTGTCTATATTTTGAAAAAAAAAAATATTCAAAATTGAGTCACTGTCAACCAATACCGTCGTGTGTGATCTGAAGATAACTTATTTTTGAAAATTAAATGAGCTTCGTAATAATTATTACGAATGCAGCAGTACCGAACTGTGTATCATATGTATTACGTAACGAGTGCACTGGTCTAGTCTAAACAGCAGTTAACGAACACGCAATGTAAATTCATATGAACCTAATGAAAATGATATCCCCATGTATCAAAGAAATATTCAACACAGATATCAGGCACGTGTAATTATAAACGCGATACGAGATATAAAGAATTTCAGTACACCAGTGATAAATGACAAAAATTTGTTGCTAATAATTTACTTTAGTTTCTCGCTGCCCGTATATATATTTGATCTCTCGTATTTTTAATATAATTATTTTTTAATAAGGTCTATGTATGGTACTGGACGTTGTCGAAGAACGTGGATTGGCAGATATTGATATTAAATGGGGAGATCCATACACCTGTCATTTCCCTTTGATCCATGGTATGAAACCGCCATCTTTGCCATGGATGATAGTAATCTATACCATAATGTGGATGGGCGCCTTTGGGATTATGCTTGGTTTCTGCTTCAAATTGGCATGTGCTTGCTTTGTCATTCCTTATTGGTACATATTTTTATTGGATAAAGGTTACTGGAACAATCACAGTTACCTGTATGGCATAGTATCTCTATTATTTTGGAGCACAAACGCTAATAGATATTTGTAAGTATATATTTTGAGAAATGAATCTGAAGAAATTTTTCGAATAAGAATATAACTATATTCTTTATATTCGCAGCTCCATAGATTCATTGTTGACACAAGCACAAGATTCCAGAGTGCCACTTTGGAATTATTTTATTTTGAACTTTCAATTTTTTGCTTTGTACTTTCTTGCCGGTCTTAAGAAATCTGGTCGAGAATGGCTTGATGGATTTTCCATGACGAATTTGTCCACGCACTGGGTCTTTGATCCTTTTAAGTAAGTATTAAAGATTCTTGTTATTATTTTCATATAAAATTTATACTGTTCATTAGGAATATCCTATACCATCCACCTGGTGACGTCTTCTTATAATTGTGCACTTTAGGCTATTTCTAACTACCGAGCAAACAGACTTTCTAATAGTTCATTGGTTCGGCTATATATTTGATCTAACCGTGGGATTTTGGATGCTCTTAGATCGCACGCGTATACCGGCAATGATATTTTGCACGGCATTTCATCTCATGAACTCCAGACTCTTCAGTATTGGTAAATATTTTTGCGGTGTCCTTAAACATAAAAAAATGACGTCATTAATCATTAACCAACTCACCGTTATCTTTGTTTCAGGAATGTTTCCGTACGTCTGTCTGGCTACTATGCCTCTCTTCTGTCACACAGACTGGCCTAGGAAAATTTTTTCGTATTTCTCAAGAAATTCCACTTGTTCGTCAGATTACGAAAATCTAGAAACTGCATCAGAAACTTCTGAAGATACTGAAATTACTAAAGAGTGTATAAAACAGGAAAAGAGTATCTCTGAGAACTTTATAAAAACAACAGAAAATAATGATACCCTAAAAAAACATCAGAAAAATTACGAAAATACGACCGATGAGAATTGCCAAAAAAATCAGCAATCGGAACAAACTCAAAATCCTACATCCAAACAAAGCGAAAAACCGCCAGTGAATATAAAACAAAAATTTGTCGTAGCCTTATTACTGTGTCATGTCGTCCTGCAGTTCTTTTTACCATATTCGCATTTCATTACCAAGGTAACGATAACCTGTTGACAATAATTAAAAGATTATTAAACGAAATATCAATCCTATTCGTTGTTTAATCAGGGATATAATAACTGGGTACCTGGTCTCTATGGCTACTCCTGGGATATGATGGTACACAATTGGGATACGATTTTAGTTGTAGTAAAAGTCCATGATAATCAGAACAATAAAGATTATTTCATGGATCCACAAGCATGGGTCCAAGGTGATCGTTGGACTAAGCATGGCGACATGGTGAGACAGTATGCAAACTGCTTGAAGGTCAGTAGATATTAAAATATAAAGAATAGGATTAAACAGGTGTATAAAAGAGAAGAGCAGTTATCGTTGTAATGATGACGTATATAATTAATTTTAAAAATTGGTGACACACAAAATCAAAAAATTATTTAAATATTGTATGAAACAGTATTGCGACCTCTTTGATGCATCCCTAACAGGAAAATCTTATGCGACAAAAACGTCGCGCAGAAAGACCCAGCATCTCGGACGGCAAGGCCTTCGTTAATAATCATTGGCCAAAAATGTCCAACAACTTAAGTATCTACATAGACGTATGGTGTTCGCTGAACGGCCGATTTCAGCAACGTATGTTCAATCCCAAAGTCGATTTATTGACCACTCATTGGCATCCTTTAGAGCCGGTCTCATATCTGATGCCATTATTAACACAATTTAGTTCATATAGGTAAGAGAAGAAGCTAACGGCAAAAAAATGTTCTCTATAGATATCGCATTGTTAATATGCAAGAAATATTACGAAGTTTTATTTTTTAGATACAAACTATACGAAATTCAACGCCACGTATATACCTGGTCGAATTATACAGACGTACTGTTCGTGGCGGATTATCCAGGAATGCATTTGGATAATTTCATTAGCGAAGACCTGTCTAATGTGACACTGACAGTTTTAGAAGGTGAAATTATGTATACAGAAGAAGACTGGGATCATGGTACAGCTGTAGGAAAAGACGGTGCAATTTCTATAGTTGCTGGAAAATTTCACAAAATAGAAACAATCAGCCCTTATCCAGCTTGCTATATGTATACCTATAGTAATCGTACCAGACAGCAATTGGAATCAAAGGGGTTAGTAAGATAATGAAAAATATGGTATAGTTAGTTGCAATTTTAATTGATTTGATTTTTTCTTGCAGTGTGCAAGTGACTGAATTAAAATCACGTGATAGCTTGGCTCTGATAAAGGAAATTAAATATCGTGTCAATGCACTATATCGTGCACTTGGTCACATAGCGAATGCATTTTTCTATCTTGTATACGATGTACCTATGGTAGGAAGGATTGTCCTTCGTTAATAATCTCCTATAGTATTTTTAATACGGGCTGTCAACTGTTAATTCAAGTTTCCAAATTATATTATATATTAAACAATGACTCGTGTTGATATAAAGAATGTATATTATATATAGACGGATTATATATTTTCGATAAGTTTCATCAGTATGAAACGCGACCAAGATAACACGTGGCCAGTACAAATGAGAAGCGTTATACTACTGTATATTGTGAATGGATGAATTAAGAGTGTATATAATAATATATATATTTTAAAAGAGAATAACGTATAATAGCATTCCAAAAATTTGTGTATCTTGATTTTTTCACAAGTTTACCTATTTTTTGGTATAAATTGTATTGATAGTAAAACAAAATTAATAAAGATTCAATCACTTTAGCACGTTTTTTTGCTATTGTGATACGAAATCTAAGATGACACAATTTATTATCAATGCCCGAGTAAAAATTTGAAGGTGTACAACAGGTTGACAACCGGTCAAAATCGAGTGTTACGAGCCTGTTGTACGCCTCCTATTTCACAAACGGGACTATTGTACGCATGTTGTATGCCTTCAAATTTTTACCCGGGTGTATGCAATTCTACCATGATGATTAATGATTTGCGGAAATATTGTTTTTCCTTCTAAAAAATATTCTAATGACAGTTATCATATGAAATCTTGGCAATTAATGGACTAAAAAATTATTGACAACTGAAATGGGTCAATGTTTTTATCGCTCCAAGAGACGTCGGGAATTGCGCAAAACCTGGCAGGATTTCTGAAAAATTCAGCTCTAATAAGCTGCTACTCTTTTTTCTTAATTTTGGGTTACCACGGATAATTATCTGCAACGACAACGATCATCATTATTTCCATGAGATATGTCAGGTAAATAAAAGTTCATTTCAAGGATTTGTTAGATATAGGCATTCGTACAGTTTCCTAGTTTAACATTTTATAGTTATGTACATGTGGTGTTTTGTAACTATTTTAGCCTTTAGTAGGAGATTCTATCATGGACCCTATGTTACAGCCCTTCATGTTTCTAGGGAGATAGTTTGTCTATTGATTTTTTAAACGTAAAAAAAAGCTTTTTCTAGGTTTTTGGTGCACAGAAATCTGTGGACAATTTTTTAATAGAATGAATACGTTACTATGTCAACTGCGTTGGAGGCTTGATGCAAACTAATCCGGACACAACATTTCGTAAGGTCGTGAGGTGATCCAATAACTAACAGGTTGCGTATTATATGAAAACACTTTTAGTTTGTGAATCTCGTGAATGTGAATGACACAGTTAAAGCTAGAAAAATCGACTTTCTTTCCAAATCACAATGTATTTTTATTCTCACTTCTGTTCATTCCAAACTAGGAGCACATAAAACCAAACAATGACGTACCTTCAAAAAAACCGTATTACCGATGTTCGGCATATATCATATAAAACTAGCAAGTCACTCCGTGGTTCGGTGAAACCGCATAGTCTATCGCATATCCAGAGTCGTGACCTTAGAGCGACAATTTGATTCAACGACTCCAAATCCAACTAACAATACAAAATTTGATTAAATTTTTCTCCCTGTTCGTCCCTTTATTATGTTTATCTCTTTGAGAGATCAAATACCAGGTGTTGGTTATCTCATTCGCTGTTGTAGCTACGTTAAATGTTTTTAATATCGTAGCAACATCCAGATGGCGACACTATTTGCTTTTAAGTTTGAACCAGTTGGAACCGTCAATAATATATATTATTTCTAACCACAGTGGAAACGTGGTGTGTTCGATAAATAATTAAGTCTGAGTTAAAATGAATATTATATTTGATACACGGGGTCAAGCTGATCTATTAACTAAAAACAGTCTTTTGGACAGCGATGATGATCCCGAAATCGAAAGGATTGGTAATAATCTATTATATTAAAGATGTTTACTGTATATGTACGCTCAAAAAGTTAGAAGGTTATGTTATGGCAGTGCATGTCAAAAAATATATATATAATTGATTTCAGATCTAGATCCAACGAAAATTATCAAAGATGAAAAAAAGAAAACAATTAAATCCAAGCGAAGCTCTAGTAATGACATTGATCTAGATGAATTTGAAGCTGATATGGGTTGGCGTAATAAAAAGAAGAAACAGCCAAAATTTGCCACAAATGTTCGCACCATAACAAAAGACCTTACTCCAATTGACAAAGTTCTGGAAAAATCTGTAATAAAGCCAGGCTTTGAACAGTTAGAATCTGTACCTAGGTATGATGAGAGTGAGAAACGCTTACGTGCTCTAAGACGGCGAGAACGCGAGAAAACTAAAGGGAAGAAATGGTTCAATTTACCAGCAACTGAAGTTACTGAAGAGATCAAACACGATCTTGAAGTTATTCAGATGAGATCGGTCTTGGATCCCAAACACTTCTATAAGAAGAATGATATCAAGGCTCTACCTAAGTACTTCCAAATAGGCAAAGTAATCGATTCACCACTAGATTATTATAATGGACGTCTAACAAAGAAGGAGCGTAAGCGTACTATAGTCGACGAACTTATGGCTGATGCTGAATTTGCTAAGTACAATAAACGCAAGTACAAAGAGATCATCGAGGAAAAACGTAAAATGCACTATAAAGCACACAGGCATGCCAAGAAATTAAAGGGAAAGAAGAAGAAGTAAATTAGATACTATTTATGATTATCTTGTAAATATTTATTCTTACACTAAGTTTACCATTGACCATAATTCCCTGCTGTCATATATTGAGAGATTATGCATTAAAAAATATGTATAAGAATTACTGAACTCATGTAGTAAAGTTCATTTTAACCGTTTAAAGAATATTTCGAATACACTGATATCACAAAATTAATGATCTACTTCATTCCTCCTGTAATTTCAATAGAAGCACCTGCTTCTAACTGCAGAATATAACTCCTTCTTGAAGTTAGCTGTGGGGTGTTTAATTTTTTTACATAAACCTCTTCAAAAAGAAGTTGTATTCCGCAGTTTTATCATATTTATTCTAGTTTCCTTGAACAAACCTGTAACAAAAGCTAATTTTCCAGCGACAACGTTCGACATGTTGGTTATCTCTTAACGACCTACTTGTTCAACGTGCAGTAAAATCTTTTTCAGGACCTTTGTACCCGGATAATCTGTGTCGCTACTTACGTGAATCGAAAATTAAAATTTATAATCTTTAAGTCATTCCTCTCCAGAGGAAAACAGGGAGCCACGAGGGAGTTTCTTCTTTTCATAAAATAATATTCTTTAGATCACAGATAAAAATAAAACTGACATTAAAGTAATCTATAATTCACTTTAGATCTAGATCCAACAAAAATTATCAAAAATGAGTTTATCAACAAAATTATCAAAGTAATCAAGTTCAAGCAAAGATCTAATAATAACATTGACGTGGATGAGTTTGGAGCTGGTGACAAAATAAAATGAACAAATAGCTAAAATTTGCCATAAATGTTTGCACCATAACAGAAGACCTCACTCCAATTGGCAAAGTTGTGAATAAATCTGTAATAAAGCTAAGCTTGTAACAGCTACAATCTGTACCCAGGTACAAAATAAAAGAGAAAAACGTGTACATACTTTAAGATAGCAAGAAAACTAGAGGAAAAAAATGATTTAATATGCAGAAACTAAAGTAACTGTAAAGATCAAGCATGGTCTTGAAGTTATCAAGATAAGATCAGTTTTGAATCCCAAACACTTCTATGAAAAAAGACGATATCAAGGCTCTGCTTAAATACTTCCAAATTGGCAAAATAATCGATTCACCACTAGATTATTACAACGTTAAGGCCAAAGCTAAATTTGCTAAATACACTACATGCAAGTAGAAAGAAGTCATCGAAAAAACATAAAATGCCCTATATTGCACACAAGTATGTCAAGAAATTAAAGGGAAAGAAGTAAATCAGATATTATTCATGATTAACTTATAAATATTTATTTTTACACTGTATTTACCATTCACTGTGATTCCCCATTGTCCTATATCTAGATTATGCATTTAAAAAATATATATCAGGTTTATTGATCTCTTGTAATCAAGTTCATTTTAACATTTTACTAAATATTTCAAATCCACTGATCTCACAAGATTAATCATCTAGTTCATTCCTCCTGTAATTTCAATAGAAGCACCATTTATATAAGAACTTCTATCCGATGCTAAGAAAAGTACAAGCTCTGCCACTTCTTCAGGCTTTCCCAGTCTGCGCAAAGCTATTTTGTTCATAAATATTTCTTTAATTTTATCCGGAACGACATCTGTCATAGGAGTGGATATGAATCCCGGCAAAACGGTATTTACCCTCACGCCAAATCTACGTAACAAGAAAAAAAAAAACAAAAGCAAAACCATAAAAAATAGTTTAAAAGAATAAAAATAATTCGTACTTCCCAAATTCAGCAGCTGCCGTTTTTGTAATATTTTCAACGCCAGCTTTCGAAGCTCCGTAATTAACCTGACCAATATTTCCGAATTTTCCAATAATCGATCCCATATTAACAATAGAAGTGCCATTTGACTGTTTTGCCTCTATCAAAATATTAACGATTTTTTGTATTACCAAAAATGTCCCACGTAAATTGACTTGCAGTACACGATCGAAATCATTCTCATCGAGTTTCAATAAAAAATTATCCCGAGTTATACCAGCCGAATTAACTACGATCGTTGGCGGTTTTGCGAATGTATCTAGTGTCTTTTTTAATACATTATCCACACTTTGTGATGAGGAAACATCAATTTCTAATGACAAATGTCCTGTGCCTGAAACAAAACTTCATCAATATTATTAGCTATATTACATTAGTATAAAGCAGTATAAAGGACCGTGATATAAAGTAATCAAGTGGCGTTACATTACGCTACAGTTGTAACATTAATTCTTTGACTTGATAAATTCTTGACGAAATGACAAAACATATTACATCGTGGCTTTAAACTAAGGCCAGTGCAAAAGTTTTAATACCTGTTAAAGTCGACACAGTCTCCTCAGCTGTTTTTATATTTTGATCAGTTGCTATAACCTGTGCACCTTCTCTTGCTAGAACGCGACACACAGCCCTGCCTATTCCACTACCGGCACCTAATGAGCCATTCAATAATGTAAAAAAAAAAAATAATAATAGCAGTTGAATTCTTGATTATGAGAATGTTATTCTAGCTTCCTTTAACGAACCTGTAACGAAAGCTAATTTTCCAGCTACAAGGTTTGACATGTTGGCTATGTCTCAACGACTTAATTATTGAACGTGCAGCACAATCTTTTACAAGACCTTTGTACCCCGACGATCTGTATCGCCACTTATCTGAACTGGAAATAAAAATTTATAATTTTTAAGTCATTCTTCATTACGAGAAAGAGGAAGCTATGAGAAATTTTGTGAGGTTGATAAGCTTGAGACTTTACGAAGGGACAAAAAACAGAATAAGTAGTAAGGGAACGTCAAGTTCGAAATCTTTCGAGAAACGTTATTGGAAGGCATGTCTTACTAAAGATTTTGAGAGCCTATGGGTTCTATATATTACAAGATAAAGGGAATTGTGCTGTATCTTATGTAAAAAGAAAAGAAAAAAATGTATTACTCTTGTTTAAATAAAATTACATTTCTAACACTCGTATTAATATTGTGGCCAAATATAAACACCTACAAATCAATTTCTATACTTAATGTGAATAATTTCATAGATAGTCCGGTTTGTTTTAATTGATTTATGGAATTGATTCGATAGTTGATCAATTGACTAGCATGCATCGACAGGACCTCCTTAACATAAAAATATTCAACAGCTCATCAAACTTTGTTTTGACATTTGGCAAGTTTCTCTTTTCTTTTATATATATGTGTATATTATTGGAAAGTATAGTATTTTTCCAAGTATGAAGAGCGGTTCTTGTTTCTATGGAAACAGTATCATCTGCCGCTGACGTCAGCAGACTGCAATGACGTCAGAAAGTGCAACGCAGTATCTATATGTTTTATGAGAAGATTGAACTTGAATCAGTATTCGTCCAAGGTGAACAGTGTTAAATCCTGTATAAAACAACTTAATTTAAAATAAATGTAAATTATAGTACAAAAATTAAATAGGCTAATCACATTCTTTGAGCCTACCGCACACACCTGTCGCACAGAATTTAATTAGGTCTTACCTATCAATTTCATAGAATCAAGAAATTAAGTAACATTAAAAATCCTTCAATATATGAGACACGATTTATAAATTAGATATCAGTTAATCCCTATTTCTAAGCCTGTTCTATGCACCATAATATGTAGCCATATACGTCAAACTCAAAATATACAGAAATATTTAGGGATGCTTCATACAGAAAAGTATGATTTGAGGTAAAGTAGTGAGATACATTCGTTTCATTGTATGAACTTACGAATGTATGTTTATTGGTTTATCCCTTAAAATTATGTCTATAGAATTTGGACGTGTACATACAAATCTTCAAACAGTTCACAACGATCTACATTTGAAACTTCAAATTAATGTTTAAGACCTATACAGAGAAAGGACATCGAATTATAAGCGGAACGCAGGGCAGCACTATCGCCTTCTGGAAAGGCTGCCTCGCGGATCGCACGGATAGTGGTCCTAGTGGCAGTTTTCTTTGGAACGGTTTAGTGTGCATTAGTGCTGTTAAAGATTGTCGTCAGGTTGAGTATGGTAAAAGCGTCGCGACGCGAATAGTATGTACCTCAGGGTCTCAGAAAAGAAAACGTAACTAACCAATGAGAGTGAACGCGTTTGTACGCACTTCGTTCGCGCAGCTAGTACGGCATGCTGCGGACGTAAGTATCGCAGGAATGTGATTCGGCGGTGGGCAACGCGCTGACACCAAACGAGGACGACGAGGTGGAGGTTGTGAACTCAGGAGTGGTGTGCTCGAGAGCGTAAGGTCGATGGGTGCTCAGGATCGGACTTATGTGTGAGCGACGCTCGTTCTGGAGGACGTCATCGACACTACTGAGGGTAGAGCGCAGGATGCTGCTGCCAGACGCTGGAAAATGGCCGTGATCGGCGAGGCTAGATACCTGGTACATGTTAACTCGTACGGCGATTCGTCCTGTCCAAGAACCAGGAGTCATCCCAGCCTCAGGGATAGAACTTGGACGATGTCCACCTCGAGGATCGTGGATTCGGACCTCATCTCAATCAATGACGATACGTGCACCGATCCGTTACGTTACGAGTTACAAAATATACAAAGTGTCATCCATGTCACGCGGCAAAACATTGATGCCCTCAACAATCGGTTTGCTGGCTTCCAGCATCCACCTTCGATTTATCTGACTGAATATCAGGAACTAACTAGCAAACTTCATGAATTGGAGTCGAAGGAACAGAAGCTCAATGAACTTCTTAATTCCAGTGTGGCTGATGAGTCTCAAACTCCTTCGAGACTACGATGTCCCAGGACTCCTCTTAAGTCGCTGCTACGTGCACATTTACCCAATCAGCAGCGTACCAGTGTACAGGTCAGGGAAGGACTCTCATTACGGGATGCACTTGCAAAAGCCATGAAGCTGCGCAACCTTACAACTGAGATGTGTGTTGTGTACATAGTTGGTGCTGATAATTCCAAGTTTCCCATACCATGGGATACAGATATCTCTTCCCTGGAATGTGATGAAATCTCTGTTGAGATACTTGACAAATTCCCTATCACCACATCTATATCTCACAACTTTGTGCGCAAGACCTTCTTCTCATTAGCATTCTGCGAGTGCTGCCGTAAGTTATTATTTCAAGGATTTTACTGTCGCACTTGTAACTACAGATTTCATCAGCGATGTGCTGGAGGTGTACCTGCACTGTGCCATCAAGTGCGCATGCAAGATGCTTACTATCAAGCACTTCTTGCACATAATCCTGAGACCAGTGCTGGTATATTACAGTTACCCTCTGGCTATGGTCTCAGCAGGAGTATGTCACCATCGTTGGCTCCAGCAGGCAATCAGAGGCATCCTAGGTCCTTAGGACAGCACGACCGATCCAGTTCCGCACCGAACGTATGTTTCAATATGGTCAAACCTGGTGGAGATCCAGCAAATCTAGAAGAATATGTTCGCTCACAAAGCCTCGGAAGGCCAGCAGGTACGACACAGAGTCCTGTATCTCCAGGAAGCAGTCCAACGAAACATAGCCAATCTACACAAGCAAGTCCTACGAGTACTCTGAGACCAAAACGACCCAGAGCACGTTCTGCCGACGAATCCTCAAAGAATTTACTGGCTCCACGAGAGTCCATAGAAGACTGGGAAATTCCTGCGGATGAGATCCTGGTAGGGGCTCGTATTGGGTCAGGATCCTTTGGAACCGTTTATAAGGCCCACTGGCACGGTCCTGTGGCAGTAAAAACTTTAAACGTAAAGATTCCCACAATGGCTCAACTTCAGGCATTCAAAAATGAGGTAGCTGTCCTCAGAAAGACACGTCACGTCAATATATTACTTTTCATGGGCTGTGTTAGCAAACCGCAATTGGCCATCGTGACTCAATGGTGCGAAGGATCTTCACTGTACAAGCATCTCCATGTATTCGAGGAGAAGTTCGAACTTCTCACTTTGATAGAAATTGGCAGACAAACTGCACAGGGTATGGACTATCTTCACGCAAAGAACATCATCCACAGGGATCTCAAAAGCAACAACATATTCCTCCATGACGATCTCACCGTAAAGATCGGTGATTTTGGTCTGGCGACTGCGAAAACAAGGTGGTCCGGATCCCAGCAATTTCATCAGCCCACTGGATCTATCCTTTGGATGGCACCGGAAGTGATTCGAATGCAAGAAGAGAATCCCTATAGTTTCCAATCGGACGTCTACGCATTTGGAGTGGTCCTGTTCGAACTGCTCGCCGGCCAGCTGCCCTACTCAAACATCAACAATAAGGATCAAATCCTTTTTATGGTCGGTCGTGGTTACTTACGTCCTGATCTTAACAAAGTCAGATCCGATACTCCAAAGGCCCTCAAGAGGCTCACCGAGGACTGCATAAAGTTCTCACGAGATGAGAGACCAATATTTCGTCAAATCCTTGCGAGTCTCGAAGGTCTTCTACGTGGTCTCCCGAAGATTACCAGGTCGGCCTCGGAACCGAACTTGAACAGGACACAGTTGCAGTCCGATGACTTCCTCTACGCATGTGCGTCGCCCAAGACGCCTGTTAATTTTCAATTTGGAGCCTTTCCGTTTTATCCAACTGGTGGTAACATATAACGTAGCATTTTCTAGACGGAAGTTGACGTAGATGATGTCAATGGAACTGGCGTCGATAATACCACTTAGCTATGAACAATCTGCATAATTTTTTTCAATTACATTCGATCACGTGTCGTGTGATTATCATTCTTCGACTAACTGACAGAAGCCCAAGGGATATCAAATATTATGACTAAGATAGAGAATGAAAAGGAGAATGAGACACTAGGTACACGCGAGGTCAGAAAACGGCACGTGTGAGATTAAAGAATGAGACTCAAGAGCGAAAGGAATATAAGATAAAGAGGTATCCAATGTGAGAGGTTATATGCTTAGACATTAATGAATGAAAGAAAAATTATCAAAGGCATCGGGACGAATGAATTCCACGTGTGCACGTTGCTTTGCGCAAAGTGATTTTCGTGTTTACTAGTATTCAAATGAAGCAACAAAAAAAAGTAAAAGGAAGCTGAAATGATGAATCCCCGGATACATAATTCTTCTTCCCGAATGTCGCGAGTCTATTCGTCTAAATGTATATAAGCGTGATTAATTGGAAGTGCGCAAGAGAATTTTCCGTGCTTACGAGCAAATTAGAATGATAACGAACGTATGCGTCCGCGTGGTACGAATGTTGGAAAGTATAGCTAAATTAATATAAAAGACGGGAAAGGCCGTAAGAATGGGTGTGAGATAATAGCGATAATTCCATTTTCGTGGAATCCTTGAAAAGGATATAAAAAAGAAACGAAAAACTAATAAACGTAATTATTAGGAAATTAGTGGACGAAAATTAGACGTTGCGCCCTACGATCGTGTTCCTCTCTCTTTAGAGTTCGTTTCATTTTTATTCGACTTTATTCTTTATTTATTTCGCGGACATTAACCATTTTTATCTTACCTGCGTTCACTCTACATAATTAATTTTTTAATTTTTTTGTACTATCGAATATTTATGCAGGACCACGTGGAACATGTGAGTATTTTATTGTCTATTATCTTTACATTTTATAGTTTTTATTCTTCTTAGTAAAAACAATAAGAAAACGAATACAAAGTATAAGCTTGTTAATCTAGTGGACATTCATAATCATTTTTTGGCTATTCTCAGTGGGACGAGAGTAAGTGCGTTATCATCGCCAAATTCAAAAATAAAATTAACATACTTTTTTCATCTTTCCTACTCTCTTTTGCTCCCGAATGAAGTGACAAAAGAAAAATCGAACGGGCTGCACACTTTTATTTATTTATTTATACGATCCGTTGTGCGGCAAGACTGTCGAAAAGATGAATGATAAATTCTCTAACTCATTTGCACATGTGAATGTTATGGAAAGTACACTTAACGAACAAGATGATGTATGCTAGTGAATTTGCGGAAAAAAACTATGTAACGGTGAGAGATAAAAAAAATGTGTCAATGTGCGAGAAACTGAGAGAGAATGCAAGAATAAGTGTGAATAATATAGAAATAAAAAAAAAATGAAACAACCAAGAAATAAACGCTTAGCACTTAATGACGCTTTCTCATAACAGGGAAAACAGTGAAACCATGAAACATATTTACAATAATCTCGTGAAACCGATAGAAACAGAGAAAAATGGCCAGCCATACGTTAGACAGAATTGTAGATCTACGGAATTGCGAAGAGATTGCCAATTAACGTATAAAACAAAAGATACTAAATAAAATGCAAGAAAATGTCACTTAACGAAGCTTCAAACTATTTTCTTGGGTTTCTAATCTCATCTTTGACATTTTCTTGCTCGTGTTCTCGGATGACATTCCTCTGTAAGATTGCCTCCTACCGAGACCACCGAATTTCGCAGTGTATTTTAATGTCACTTTTTTCGAATGTAAAGAAAATGGACGTACTTGCAAGCGTGTGAGAGCCTGCGGTTTTTGCGATATTGCAAATCCTCGAGGCAACAATTGTTCCGTGTATAAAAGTGCCGCTAAAGGTACGATACGGCGCGAAACGATATAAAAAAAATACAAAAGATGGGCTATCTATCGATTCCTCTTTGATTTATTCTTGCTTTTCGTCGGTATTACTTAGTATTTTCAAAAATTGCCACGCGACCTACTCACTGTAAAAGGGAATAAGCGAGAACAGAATGGGACAAAAAAATATACGCTAATATCTCTTTCTCGATCTGCGAGATACGAGACGTTTATAATTTACATTCGATATACTTAAATGAATTAATTGCCAGGTGAGGTTGAACGAACGATAGATCAATCACTATTGTATCCTTTATTCAATTCCCTTCCCATTCTCCATACCGTTACCTCCGAAAGAATGAAAAGAAAACCAAAAATAAAAAATTCAATTTATCTTCGCGTACGTAATGTGTGTACATAATATGCTTTACCATATTCTTTCAAGCAATTCTTACAAGATGACAGTTTTTTTCTCAAATTTTTACCTTTACATTATAGTATTACATTTTTATTATCTATTGCTCCCGTCCGACGACGCCTGCTTGCGTCATTATTACTATAAATTAACTATATTATTCCTTGTCGAAATACCTTGCGACAAAAGGCCTTGAAAATCGACTCGACATGTTGCTGGTAAGTTAATTCATATTATTATACTTATATTTGACATCAGTATTGTGGTTTAATTGACAAACGATAACTGCCTATAAACATTAAAAGTTTACCTGTGCATTTATCTCAATATGTTGGTGATTCTAATACGTTAAGTTATTTAAATACTGCCTGGTCAAAACAGTAATTTAATTGCAACAGCTTGAATTATGGCTTTGAAAATAAAGGCAGACTTGACTGTTGTATTATCAGTTATGTACTTGAAATACTGGATTTTGTTAGTTAATAATTTACATACTACTTGTCTTTTATCTTCGAATTATATTTTCAACTGCAAATGCGAAAGTGCGGTAATACTCTTTCTTTCCTTATGTAAACAGAAATGGTTGCAACACGATTGCATTTTTCTTACGTATAAAGTATTTGATTCCTTCAAGAACTATGTATGATTATATCTCGCAGTATTGTATATGAGTATATACAGTAATTGAATGCAATGTTTATATATACTTTTACAATGTATGTACAGTCTGTTAAATAGATATTCGATTATCCACCGTAATAATTTCTGATTTCTCCACGTTTCCGTTTGGTAATTCGATCATAGAATCATTATGTGGAATTGAGAGTCATTCAATTATTATCTCGTAATGACTAATAATTAACTATCATTAAATCGTATAGAACAATAAACGCTGTATAAAGCTTCATTATATAATATTACATACCGTAATGGTTCTTTTAAGTATACTCGGTATAATATGCTGTACTTGAAAAAATATTTCGATTATATTTCCTATCGAATTTCACAAAAATCATTATTTCCCATTGTACTTGACGATGATTATATTTATAAAAATGCAAATAATTTCAATAAGACCAATCGAATGTGCAAATAGAAATGAATGCAAGGAGTATTCATGTATAAAAATGCATGTGGCTGTTTGATGTCAATTTTCTATTTGAATCGTGAGTAATTGAATGAAGAAATAGAAAAGCAAAAGGAACACAACAACGTTGGCCCAGTTGAGAAATAAATATGTCAGAGCCGGCCGTTTCATCGATCCCAATATAAAAGAAAAAAGGAGGTTAGATATAATTAAAAATCAATACAAACAAGATCATTTATTTACGTAAAAATAATAATAGCACTTATTTCGTACTTTATGTAAGTATTACGGTTATCTGATATTTAGAGCGAATCGATATGGCTAACACCTGACACCCTCTTATCCATTCCGCCATTGATTTCACCCGGGAATTCCTGTGGGAGAAGGTCGCGGTTTCCCGTAGGGCTGGTAATCCGACTTGCACCCGGTTACCCCACTACCTTCTAAAGCTATATACATATGTATATAGGCGTATACTCGTAAACGTGATAATACCGGCATAAAATCTGTACACGAGGACGCTGGTTTTCTACCCGTGTCTGTACCTGTGTATACCCTCGAGAGAATGATGAAACTTCATCCACGTGATTATTGAAACTTAACTTACTTGATACGTGTATACTGCATACAGTATAATCTTTAATCTAAACGTATCAGAAGTTAGTACCCTCTTTGCTCAGGAGTTTTTCAGCCATCCAATTTCACATAAGATTTCAAGCACAGTCGAACTGTATGTATTTATACTGTAGCTCGTCTACGAGTAGAAAGACAGTAGTCGGCCCCAGGTGGGTATTTATGTATATGTGCGTGCGTTCGTTGGGCGTGCGCTGGTGTATGTTCTATTCATTGCTCTATGGATGCATCCATGCACAGTGCACGCGCACTAAACTTCTGTTGAGTAAAGTCTCAAGAATATAGCACATATTCTTCCTTGTAGTACGCACCAGGTACCAGGTAAACGTACTCGACGTTACTATATTTACCGTAAATATAGTAGAGGATCCCGGGTTTTCTTTCTCTCTGTCTCCTTCTTTCTCACCCTATGCATCACAAGTCACGACACGTCCTTTCTCTTTCTATATTCTACAGTATAGGTATACACTGTCCTCTACTATACTATAGTAGAAATGTCTCTACGTATGTACTTGCGCTTATTAGACATGGCCGCCGTACAGAGTTTGCGCACGATCGCGCTTCGTTTCTGCGCATGCGCCACCAATGAGAGTCCGCGAGAACAGTCGATGCTGGGATGCCGAGTTGTGAACATTGTGTGTAATAATTGTATCAGAGCCGGTTAAAATTATACAGTGAATATACATACATATGTAGTCGTATCAGAAATCGTGTTTCTCAATTCTAGTGCTCATTTTACTATTACTGCTCTCGTTACCTACAACGCTCAGGAATGCTTCTACGTAAAGAGACAAACAAGGATTACTGGTAATGGGGCTTATCAAGCGTTACCAGTATTTGAATAAGCAAATTTGATAAAAAGCCAAGCTTTGACGAGGCTACACGAGTTTTTAAATTTTTCATCACTGAAAGTACAAACTCGTCACTTGTTACTTTTGTTTGATAAACTTTATATTTTTTTCTCAGTTTATCGACTCGAATGACGTTTTTGTTTTGTGAGATTACAACTTTCAAGCAATACGAGATATTTTATTGGTCGAAAACTATAAATTTGTTGATAGATTATTTTTTTCGGGCGATATAAACGTCTATATTTATATATGTTTGTGTGTTTTTTGAGAGTATTACGAAAACGGAAAGTAAATCTTTGTTTCTCGTCTAGTGAGCTTCATTTAACACACTGTATGCTTCTACACGTCTGCCTGAAAATCGCGAAATCAAATAACAATTGATCCAAGTATGGCATTACAATTACATTTTTTTTTCGTTTGGCTAACAGAATTGTTATGAGAATATCACGAGAAAAACATAGATAAGAATAATAATGAGCAATGTGCTTGTAATAATGCCATACTTTTAATTTCCATCGATAAGAAATATCTACTGTTTTGCTTTTCAAGGATTCCCTCAAAACTTAACGGACATTGGCTAACCACTAGAAGTAACTCGTTCCGGAATTAGATTCCGAAAATCTGGACGCAGTATATTATATGCGTGTGTGTGTGATATATGCATATATCGATTGTATATGTATATAGCAGTCAGTTGATTTCAAATTTTGTCTTAAATAAACGTACACCTATTCGTCCATTGACGAGTTTCGGATGTGTCGCTTAAGAGCGAAACGAAAGCGATATACATATTCTATTTTCGAATTGGATCGAGTAAATTGGTTCATAGCGTTAGCTAAGGAAGAGCGTTAGTTAATTTCGTTGAATTTCTCTTCATCCATTGACAGAGCCACGCTCTGCCGTGTTACGATTAAAGAGTGTAGGTTGATGATGATCTCTTCCTCCCTTAATTAATTCGACATTGTGAAAGACCGGATTCCAATAAAATGATGAATTTAAGTGAACAATGAAAAAGAGAGAAAAAAGGGGCACTGGATATGAGGTACGCCTCGAGTTTTCGTACAACATCGAGCATTGATTTTCCATTGTCATAAGGATTGCACAGATGCGATGCACGTGCCGTTTCTTCTAGATATAGATCTTAACAATATAATCAAGCGATCAATATATATTTATATATATGTGATCTCATCGATTCTTCCGATTCTTTGAGTCTCGTTAGTTTTTCCTCAGCTCGATACCGCATTATCGTTGTAACGTGCGCACCTGCACAACTCGATGCACGTGTATACTTGAATTCGACGTATGTATACATGTGTGTGTTTTGTGATAAGCAGATAAGGGCAGGATCAGTGAGGGGGGGAAGTAACTTGAAAAAGGGAAATACAATGAATCTAAACATAAAAGCAAAAAATATAGACGAAAAATTTACAAGCACCTCGCTGATTGCGAGTACTTTACTTTTTCGTTATCATTAATTGGATCATCTACTATTGGAAAATAATTGTATCTATGAGTGTTGTTTGGACGTTTGATGGCTTAATGAATTTTCTGTGCTTCCAAACCGAATAAATAATTTAATATATGTATACGTCCTACACACACGCATGTCCAGAAGTCATCTTTAAAATGTCTTGAAGACAACTTCTTTGCCATTAGACACCCTTAAAAAAGACTTTACGACATTACGTCTTGTTTCGGGTATATATGTATCGCATATACTCTTATTTTTATATTGTGAACTACAATAATTGTACTTTTTTCAAGTAATTCCAAATTTAACTTTTATCAACGTTCAGAGCCTGTTGTTAACTGTTAGATTGTTGTCAGCGATTTTTTTTACACTGACGTGTGAAACGTATTTAATTGGCTACAAGAATGATTACGAAATGAGGCTGTACGTATTCAGGATAAGAAAATATAAATTTGCATCCAGATATGTGCTTAAAATACGTCAACATTGATACTCTGACAAACAATTTTTATTTTTCGTCGGCAATATCCCCTCATACCCTGTATTATCTTCTCCCTAATGTCTATAAACGAATCTCGCGTGTATTCACTAGCACCGAGTCGGACTTTGTTCGGAACATCATTCAGTCTTGTCATTGCTTTCACTCAAATTTTTTTCTACGTTTTAATTTTGTTTATTCTTCAAAGCTCGCATTATTGACTCTCCGTTGTATCCACATAGACAGGTCTCTAATGTGCATATTTTAATTGTTCGCAGCCTAATGAAATACGAAGACTTCCTCTGCCACGAATTTCAAAATCACGAAATTATCAACGATTGATAATTAGACTGAGCCTATATAAAATATAACGCACTTGGACCTTTTGACTGGATGCCAATGTGGTACTGTGGAGAAAATTAATGCATATATGGATAATAAGAAGTCGTCGATGCTACTCCTGGTGCTCCTCCTAGTCAAGATGGATATCGGCTAAACCGTCAGGATGTGGTATGAAGACTGGCGTATCTGGGAAATCAGGATGGATTGGCCGCCTCGCAGTAGGTAGCCAAGCATAAGCAACACTGTAACGTGTACTGGTAAAAACGTAGCAGAAAAAGTGCGAAAACTGTTGAAGAATCGTTAAGGATTTTGATGTAAATATTGAGCTGATTTCGTACGCATATCTTGGGAGTGTCAAGTAAAAGAGAAAAAAAAACAAACAAAAATATATTAATCAAAGTTCATTTCATCTCCTCCCGCCAGAAACGAGTCGAAAAAGAAGGGCGATAACTTTAAAAAGTGTCAAGTGTATTATTCGCAACGAAAAAAACAATTGCATCCAAATTGTTTAACTGTCTAGTTAAAATTAATTTAACGAACAAAACAATCACCGTGTGCATATCGTCAGTCGTTTTTTGTTATGCTGTTTAAACACTACTGAGCAAATGAATAAAAAGGAGAAGTTCGGCGTCATAATTATTCGAACGTCGAAACCACGTTGACCAAATGTAAAATACATAGCCACCGAAAAAGTTGCCAAGACATATCCCAATATTTGGAAGAAAAACGAAAATCAGACGAGTACGTGATATCTTTAGGCGTAAACACGGCATATCGCAAAATTACGAAAAGACTAGACCGTGGAAACACTTGGAAGTAAAAAACAGATACCGTGATACATCAGATACCTGTATTACGCAATTGGACGAGAATCGGCGGTGCAGCTGAAAAATGTGATTTCCTCGTGTTAAGGAAACCCGTGCGATACGGTGTCCGGGAGGCTTGTGTGTGCGTCACGTGTGTGAACGTGAGTGAGGGGGTGGGAAGTGTGCGAGTTCTCTGTGTGCCAAATCTCATCGAAGGTCACAAGGCCACTCAGGATGGGTTGTGGACAGAGTAAGATCGGCAATATATATCCGAAGAACAAGAAGAATAAGAATAACTCCAAGAAAAATGGTGAGTGTCGGGTACAATAGAAACAGTATTCCTATTCTTCTTTTTCTTTTACCGCATGGACTCACTTGCTAGAATCCACGTTGGCTGAAATCAACTAATTTCTCATATTACATCCAATCAAGCATGTGTAAAAGGTGTAAATGATTTTCTAATGTAATTTCACCAACGTTGCGTCCTACGTATGTACGTATGTATATGGCTAAACGGATCTCATGCACGTGCACTGTCTGCCAGCGTTAACTTCATGGTTCTCATGTATGAATTTTCTGTCGTACAATTGACAACTAGACCGATAAAAGCCTGCTTTGAAGATTCACTTGGGGGATAGTGCAATTAAGAAAGATAAAAATAAACAAAGACAAAAATACGAAAAGGTAACGCAGTAAATAGTTTGAATAATTTTTTTTCGGATACTTTGCATGTCCACTAATTGCACGACTTTATCGTTGATAATTACAATAACCTAATTTTCGCGTTTATTATGTTGTAGTCGTATCACGTGGGTACGACGATGTAACGGTTTACGGATATCCTAATGAATTTTGAACGAAAAAGTGTCGTGCACGAAATCACGTAACCTCACTGGGGCAAGTACAATGCATTGCTATTCCATAAACGAATGTACTTAAAGAGTCAAATCATCTGGAAACAGACTCGTTATATTTGAGAACCTTGAAACAGTTCGTGGTTTATGTTTGTTATGATGTTTTCATATTTGTCTGTCACTTTGGAGTTTGTCTTTTAAAAACTTTTTTTTTCTATCTCCCTTTCCTCGAGCTTCTCTTGCTAGGCGAATCCGGTCAGCTTGGCGCTTTGTTAAATTGCGTCTAAAAATACCGGAAAAAGACGTTTCGGTTTCTGACGGATATGTGGGTCACGTGTGGAAGCACGTTTTTGAACTTTTAAAATTACCAAAAGCAAGATGCGTTAGTAGAGGGTAAATAAAGTACATACCGACTTAACTGACAACATTGAAGATTCCCAATTGTAACTTATAAACGTTACTGATTCGAGTCGGTTCGAACTGGCTCGAAATTATTTTTCCTAACTGCTCTAATGTCATGTTTATGTATTTTTTTTCATACTATCTTCTTCGCGTGTCCTTCCCATAACGCCATCATGCGCCACATACAGATATTACATATAGGCACAAACGATAGGCATTGCCACCACGCCTGAAATGTATTGCGATTAAAGTGGCGTCTGAATTGGAGTACGTAGTCCAACGTGATTGCAGTGCCCCCCCCCCCC